GGGAAATTGAAAAAAAGGAGAGAGAGGGTGAGGGAGAAGCGGGAAACCGAGGTTCCTGCTGTGAAGCTGGCACTATCCCATCAGTCCATCCTGCGTAGCCCTCCCGATAACCCCACAAGACGTACACCATCGTCGGCTTCAGTTTTCAGATGCCTGAGACTCAGAGACAGGATGTCACGTTCCTTAGGGACGTGTTTCAGTGACATCAGGACTTGAATCCAGATATGGTTGAGTGACTGGACTTAAGCACACAGCACTGCTTGAGCTACACTTGTTAGGTATGGGGCAGACGTCCCCTGTGGCAGGGTGGAATTTTTCAATTAGTTATTTGCCTGGAACACCATTCGTTCGCACATTTTCCATTCATCCCCTCCCTCCCCCATTCATTCCCACATTCACGCAAGAAGCCTAATTCCCTTGTCTACAGCATCCCTCCTCCCGTCTCATCCCCGCCTTCTTCCTTTACTGGGAAATGGGAGGCCTGGGTAGGCTGTCAGCCACAGGGCTCAGTGTGGACCCTTCCCAGCCCTCAACCCAGACCAGTTTCTGGGCATGCACTCTGAGGGCCAGGCAAGGCCCTTCTTTCCTCTCTTCCCTGCCCTGAAGCTGAATCCACAGCAAATGGCCCTACCAACTAATCTCAGAAGCTTCCCGACTTGTCGCTGTTCCTCAGGGCAGTTTCCTGGAAGAATTCATTGGGTTTCCTAGAAAAAGTTCCTGGTCATCTTCTCTTTCCATGACTGTAATTCATTACTCTCCGTGTGTTGTAATTAGTTTAGTGCCCCGTCTTTGATCTACATTTGACATCTGAAATGTTTCTGCGAGGTTAAGTCCGAGAGGCCAATAGCTGCCCTGGAGCAATGGCGTCATCTCCATGATCTTGCACCATGGCAATGACACAAACGGCCTTTTAAAAAGCCCCCTGCGTGGGGATCAGAGACTTGAGATCTGGTCCCTTTGTTCCAACTGACTCGGACAGGTCCTTTTCTTTTTCTGGTCTTGAGTTTCTCCAAGGAAGAGGCGAATCTCATGGCAATCAAGAGCCTAGGAGCTTACATGAGACACACAGAGTTCAGATCTCAGCCCTGGCTCTCACTAGTTGTGTAACCTTGAGAAAGAAACTTTAACCACTGTGAGCCTCAGTCTCCTCATCTGTAAATGGGGACAATGATATTACTTATTACCTAGAGTTGCAATAATAATACAGTGAGCCAATATATGTGAAGCACAGTGCCTGGTACTCAGTCATTTCTTGAAATATCTTAGCTGTGGATGATAATAATAAGAATATGCTAGAGAAGGGGGAAGGAGAAGGAATGGTATGAAAGGAGAGGTATGAGATCCCTACGTGCTAAGCTAAGGGAGTCATAGAGTTGGACGGAGAGGAGAGAATAAAGCTACTTTTGATATTTCAAAAAGTTTAATGGGAATCCCACATCTACTTATGCACAATAAAGCCATAAAGGATAATAAGAAAGGCAACTTTCTTTGCTTTGGGCTGAAATTACATTAATTCCTTGTGGTCAACTAAAAGGCTCTGGAATTAAATAGACCCGCACTCAGCCCAGGTAAGGTGTGTGATCTTGAATGAGGAAAGTAACATCCCCCAAGGGAAGACTGGCAACCCTAATCTTGCAGGGCAGCTATGAGGATTAAATGAGATAATGTATGGAAAAAGCACTTAACATGGGGTCTGGCACAAAGTCAATACTCACTACATGCCAGCCACTACGGCTAATATCCTTCCCTAGCCTCCCTAGGGCTCAGCTTCTTCATTGGTAAAATTAAAATCATACCACCTGCTTTACTCATTCAACAAATATTTACTGAGCCAAGTATCATGAATACAAAAATGTATTCACCAGACACAGTTCATGGCCTCTCAGAACCCACAGTTTGAAATTGCTCATTATTCATCCCTTCAACAAATATTTTTACCAAACATTTAGTGTGTAACAGGCTGCATAATGGGAATTAGAGACACAATGGCTAGTAAAACATACTTAATCCCCAACTATCTACAAAATTATAGCGCAGAGAAGACGCAATAAAAATAAGCTAGTGAAATGACTAAAGTATAGTAGGTGTTCAATGAGTAAGTTATCCGGGTGCTAATCAGAAGCTGTGGACGTGTAACTTTGGGAAAGTTAGTGCATAAAAATGTTGCAGATTAATGATTTCTTAACACATGACATTTGTTTGATAGACAAGGGCTTTGTATGAAAGTGTTGAATCACTCTATTGTACACCTGAAACTAAAATTTTTTTTTAAAAAGGAATGGGTAGTTAATTTTTTAATTAAAAAATATACGAGAGAAGTAAAAAAAAATGTAATATTTAAATATACATTTAAAGAGGCTCTGTCTGCTGAAAACTGCAAAATGATGACCAAAGAAAACCTAAATAAATGGAGAGGCATATTGTGTTCACGGATTGGGAGACACAACACAGTGAAGATGTCACTTCTCCCCAGAGGGATCTATAGGGTTTTTTTTTTTAAATTTTTTTTTTTAACATTTATTTAGTTTTGAGACAGAGAGAGACAGAGCATGAATGGGGGAGGGGCAGAGAGAGAGGGAGACACAGAATCTGAAGAAGGTTCCAGGCTCTGAGCTGTCAGCACAGAGCCCGATGCGGGTTCGAACCCACCAACCATGAGATCATGACCTGAGCCGAAGTCGGACGCTTAACCAACTGAGACACCCAGGCGCCCCTATAGGTTTAACGCAATTACTATCAAAATCCCAGCCAGGGTTTCTTTTTGTAGATGTAGACAAGCTTGTTCTAAAGTGTATATGGAAAAATATAACAGCCCTAGAAGTGCTGAGACCATCTTGATAAAGGAGAACAAAGAAGAAGAAATCACTCTACTCAATACTAAGGCTTGTTGTATAGCCATGGTAAACAAGACAATGTGGTATTGGTGCAAGGATACACAGATCAATGAAACAAAATAGAGAACACAGAAATAGACCTACACAAATATGTGCAACTGATTTTTTACAAAGGTGCAACAACAAAAAAAAAAGACAAAACAAACAAACAAAAAAGAACCGTGATCCCAACCTCACACCTCATATAAAAATTAACTCCAAACAGATTATGGACTGGACTGTAAGACATAAAACTATAGCATGTTTTTTTTAATGGTTTTATTTATTTTTGAGAGAGAGAGAGAGAGATGGAACACAGAATCTGAAGCAGGCTCCAGGCTCTGAGCTGTCAGCACAGAACCCGACGTGGGCTCGAACTCACAAACTGTGAGATCATGACCTGAGCCGAAGTCAGACACCTAACCAACCGACCATGCAGGTGCCCCAACATGTTTTTAAAATAGGAGAAAATCTTCTGTTTCTAGGCCAGGCAAAGAGTTCTTAGACTTTACACACACACAAAAAAAAACATGATTCATAAAACAAAAATTAATAAAACAGACCTCGTTAAAATTAAAAACTTTGTCTCTGCAAAAATCCACGTGAAGAGGATGAAGAGACAAGCTACACATTGGAAGAAGATATTCACAAGCCATATATTCAAAAAGGACTAGTATCTAGAACATACAAAGAACTCTCGGGGCCCCTGGATGGCTCAGTCAGTTAGGTGTCCAACTCTTGATTTCGGCTCAGGTTATGATCTCATGGTCTGCTGACAGTGCAGAGCCTACTTAGGATTCTCTCTCTGCCTCCCTCTCTCTCTCTCTCAAACTAAACAAATTAATTAAAGAATAATAACTCTCAAAACTCAAGTGTAAAAAGAACCAATCCAGTTAGAAAATGGGCAGGAGACATGAACAGAGATTTTACTGAAAAGGAGATACAGATGGCAAATAAGCACACGGTAAAAGTTCAATATCATTAACTATTAGGAAAATGCAAATTAAAACCACAAGGAGATCACTATCTACCTATCAAAATGTCCAAAATAAAAAATAATGGAAACACCAAGAGCTGGAGAGGTTGAGGAGAAGCCGTATTGTTCATACATTGCTAATGGGAATGTGAAACGGTACAGCCATTCTAGAAAACAGTTTGACAGTTTCTTACAAAACTATTAAGCAATTACCATAAAGCTCAGCAATTCACATCTTAGGCATCCCAGAGAAACGAAAACTTAGGTTCACACAAAAACTGTACAAAAATGTCCATATCAGCTTATTCGGAAGAGCCAGTAATTAGAACTAGCCCAGATGTCCTTCAGTGGGTGAACGGTTAAACAAACACATACATGCCACGGGGCACTAAAGAGGAACTAACTAATGATACTTCGCCAACCTGGATGAATCTCCAGAGAACGATGCGACATACAAGAAAGCCCACATCCAAAGATAGCATACTATTTGATATTCCAGTTTTGAAAAGACAACATCTTAGAAGTGGAGAACAGATGAGTGGTTGCCAGGAGGTGGGGACAGTGGAAAGGATGGTGGGCGTCCACTATTCTTCTGGAATCTCGAAATTCTGCTGCATCTTGACTGTAGGGATGGATATAGACACCCACACACGTGGCAAATATTTAGAATTAAATACACATACAAAATGAGTCCAAGTAAAACTGGAGGGGTCTGAATAAGATTGGTAGATTGGGTCAATGGCAGTATCTTGGGGATACTGGGGATCTAGGGGATTACAGGGGGAAACTGGGTATAAGGTACAGTGGACCTCCTGTATTATTTCTTACTACTGCATGTGTATTTACAACTATCTCAATAAAAGTTTCAGTGAAAACTTTTATTGATTTGTATTTTAAAACTCCTATTTTATTAAAGATTTGAAAATCCAGGAGAAAAAAATCTGAAAAATCACCATCCTGAAACACAGTATTTTGATGCTTTTGTTTTTCCTGATCTTTGTTTTTTACATTTATATGAAAAAAAAAAAATGTGAGAGGTAGGAATAAAACTCAGGGTGGTGACGAGGTGGGGGCCTTGCTGTCTCCCACCTTCTATGACATCAGAACTCAGTGTTTGATGCCTGGTGACCAGAGGCCAGGAAGGAGGAGGGGGCCCCTCTGCCCGGCAGATGGCAGCCTGACCTGAGGCCATGGTGATCCAACAGGTGGGCAGCAGGGGGCGAGTGGCAGCCGAGAGTCTTGAAAGGAGAAGGGGCAGTCGCTGTGAGGACAAGAAACAGGTGAGGCCAGACCAGATGCATGCTGCCTTCCTCCCATCTGGGGTCCCTTTGACACTCCAGACAGACTGTAAGGCCCTCAAAGTCAGAAGAGGCTGAATTTCAGCCGGACTCTCCCTGGAGCCCGACCTGGTTGAACACAGCATGGGTGCTTGGGTTCTCCGTCCCTGAAGTCACTACTGACTGACTCTCTAACTTCGTCCCCAGCACCGCCAGCATAACGTGCGCTCCAGAAGGGCTGGGTTTTTTCATTTAGTTTCCTACTATATCCCTAGTGCCTACAGTGGTGCTTGGTTCGTATTAGTAGCTGAATGAATGAATGAGTGAATGAACGACTTGAAATAAATAGGATACATCTGAATTATAGACCTCCCGGAGTATTTGTTCTTAGGACTGAAATTCAACCTCATGTAGAACTTTGTCAAAATGGGAAATGTTATCACTTACTATGCACAGCCTGGTGCTTCCACCCCCCTCTCTCTTTCATGACTTACAGCATTCCCGAGAGGCAGCTATTAACAGCTTCATTCACAGATGGGTAAACCGAGGCTCAGAAAGGCAAAAAGAGGGGCGCCTGGGTGGCGCAGTCGGTTAAGCGTCCGACTTCAGCCAGGTCACGATCTCGCGGTCCGTGAGTTCGAGCCCCGCGTCGGGCTCTGGGCTGATGGCTCGGAGCCTGGAGCCTGTTTCCGATTCTGTGTCTCCCTCTCTCTCTGCCCCTGCCCCGTTCATGCTCTGTCTCTCTCTGTCCCAACAATAAATAAAAACGTTGAAAAAAAAAGAAAAGAAAAGAAAGGCAAAAAGACCATATAGCCACGATCTACCAGGATTTGAAGCCAGGTCCATCTGATTTCAGAACTCTTAGCACGCTTACCCTGCACTCCGTGGCCTCCCAGGTGGGGAAGTGGGGGAGGCATATAAAAGAAGGCTGGGGAGGGCACCTGGGCCTGATCACGCACACCACGGAAAGGGACGGGATTTTATTCTGAGATTCATAAGAGGCCATTAAAGGTTTGTTGGTGTGTTGGTTTGTTTAAGCCATTGACGGATCGTAAGCAGAGCAATGGACGGCTGATCTCTATATGTTTCCAAAAGATTTGTTCACTTGTTCATTTGATATACATGCTCCAACGCCTCCTTTGTGCTGGACCTCACAGCAAGATGGGGCCTTATGGGATCCCATCATGCTGTAGCTTTTCCTCACAAGAGTCCCACAAATACCAAGCCCCAGGAAGGCTCTTTGAGAAAAATCTCCAAAAGACTTCTGCCATTCAAGGAATGCCAATACTCTTTCTTGTCCCCTCTTGGAGATTGACGCTGCTCATTCACATAATGAAGGCAACAAGGAATTCTGCAACAAGGAATTCACTTTGTTGACCACAGCATTTCCCAGACCAATCAAACACCGAGCCCCAGCTTTTGTTTTTGAAAGACCTTTCAGTATACTTCAGAATCCATTTTACAGATGAAGCGGTTGAGGCTCAGAGAGAAGAAACGATTTGGCTCAGGCCCCAAGGCAACACGGGAGAAGAGCTAAAACTTAATCCTGCCCCTGTTCCCCCCTTAGTCTCCAAACAGCACAAAATAAAAACCCAACAGCAAGTGTACTGGGGAAGGCATTGTTCTGTAAAGTACATGGACAGAGGGACTGTTAAAGAAATATCAGAGCATTGAGCATCAGCCATTACAAAGAATGAGATAATTCTGTGTGTCTATAGAAAGATTCCCAGGGAACACTGTTAAGAAAAAGCCCCCTAGCCCCTGGGTGGCTCAGTCGGTTGGGCGTCCGACTTTGGCTCGGGTCATGATCTCACGGTCTGTGAGTTCGAGCCCTGCGTCGGGCTCTGTGCTGACAGCTCAGAGCCTGGAGCCTGCTTTGGATTCTGTGTCTCCCTCTCTCTCTCTGCCCCTCCCTGCTCATGCTCTGTCTCTCTCTGTCTCAAAAATAAATAAAAACATCTAAAAAAATAAAAAATAAACTATAACAGAAAAAGCCCCCTAAACTTAAGTGTAAAATGCAATGATCTTTACATTGAATGCACACACCCAGGTATCGTCCCCCACATCAAGCAATGGAACATTTCCATTTCCAGTACCCCAGAAGCCTCCTTGAGGCCCCTCCCATCTCACGCCCCACTCCCATAACCATGATCTCTGATCTCTACCATCGTAGAGTTTTGTGTGTTCTTGAATTTCACGTGAACGGAATCCGTCAGTGTGTACCTTTACGCCTGGCCTCTTTCCCTCGTCAGTGTCTGTAAGACTGTAAGACTCAGCCAGATTGATGCTTTGTAATTTATTTTTATTTTTAAAGTTAATCATAATAATAATATAGTTACTAGTATATATAAAGAAAACTATCTGGGGGAGAGGGAAATTATGCAAATCTTTTATCTTCTTTGTTGTGGTAGCAGGTCTAAATCTTGCTTCGTGAACTCGGGTAAGTAAGAAATATATTATTTCAAGTCAAATTAAATCTGACTCAGCCCACATCTAATGAGTCGAGGAAAGTTCCATGTCAGTCAATACTGTGTTTGTCTTAATCCTTTGTCGACTTCTGCTTGTCCCTGACACCATCACTGTCGCAGCTCACATTGTCTGTTGAAAGCAGGTGTCTCTGAACTCCCTGGGCTAAGGCCTGCCGAGACACACCACAAAGCCACCGAGAGCGGGCGCCAGGCCCCTCCCAGACTCAGACTCGGCCTCTCTCTTCTCCCACCTCTCTAAAAGGCTCCTGTCTCCTCTCCTAATCCTGGCACATCCACCAGAATCTCCTAAATGATCGTGGGCTGACCCAAGCATCGGCGAGCGATGTTGCCTCCAGGCAGCTCCTTCACTCCAGCCTGCACTAAAACGCTATGATTAGACTTCACTTGCAGCCTTAACACAGTAGCTGGGGCGAAGCTAGCCCTCCCATCGTAAGAAACCACAAAACTGTCGATATCTAGGAAGCAGCTATTTTCAGGGGAGGGGTAACAGGCAGCACAAGAGTGCCATCCCTGAGAAAAGGAAAACTCGTGATAGCCTCGCCTCTTTCCCAGAGGCTGCTGCACCGAGAAGCAGAGCCCAAGCACGCACAGCAGTCCCCACTGAGCTGCCCAGTGTAGGATAGCTAAAGCAGCTGGGCTCTAGAGAACATGGCCCTGGAGAGGGAGGAGATCTGTGCACCAAGGGGAGCCCCATGACTCCCTGGCTGAGGGGGTGGGGATGTGCATGCCAAGGGCTAAATTAGCTGCTCTCTGCAGAGTGGCTGCTATGCAGTTGGGAGCAGAGCAGAGATACTGGAAACCCAGCGGTGCTGGAGGTTCACAACGGACCATATACCTAACTGGAAAGCTAAAGCAATAAAATGTCTAGAAGACAGAGGAGAGAATCTTCACAACCTCGAGTTCGACAAAATTTTTTAGACTGTGCACAAAAGGCACAACCATAAAGGGAATATATTTGATGATTTCAACTTCATCAATATTGAAACTGTTTATGGGGCGCCTGGGTGGCTCAGTGAGTTAAGCGTCCAACTTCAGCTCATGATCTCGCGGTTCCTGGATTCGAGCCCCGCGTCAGGCTCTGTGCTGACAGCTCAGAGCCTGGAGCCTGCTTCGGATTCTGTGTCTCCCTCTTTCTGTCCCTCCCCCACTAGCGCTCTCTATCTCTCTCTCTCTCAAAAATAAATAAACTTAAAAAAAAATTGAAACCGTTTAATTTTCAAAGACACTGGTAAGAGAACGAGAAGGCAAGCCACAGACTTTGACTTTGTAGTCACGATACAAACATCTGACAAAAAAATGTATATCCAAAACACATAAAGAACTATAACTTAATACGAAGACAACTGCTCAACAACAACAAAAATGAGCAGAGTTTTTAATAGACACACCCACAAAGTAAGATGTGTGAATTATGATCAGTAAGCACATGAAAAGATGCTCAACATCTGTTATGGACTAAATGCTTATGTCCCCCCCCAAATTCCTATGTTGAAATCCTAACTCCCAAAATGATGGTATTAGGAGTTGGGATCTTTGGGTGATGATTAGAGCCCTTATTAAAAAAAGACCCCAGAGAGCTCTCTCTGCTCTCTGCCACATGAGGATACGATGAGAAAATAAATGGCTGCTTACAACCCAGAAGAGCGCCCTCACCAGGCCCCGACCCTACTGCCCCCCTGATCCTGAACTTACAGCCTCTAGAACTATAAGAAGTTTCTGTTGTTTATAAGCCACCGGCTCTGTGATAACTTCATTACAGCAGTGCAAATGGACTAAGACAACATCATTAATCATTGGGGAAATGCAGGTAAAAACTAGGTTGAGATATTACCACACAACCAATGGAATGCCTAACATGAAGAAGATTACTGACAGAGATGTGGGGCAACTAGAATCCTCGTGTTGCTGGTAGAAATGCAAATTAGTACCAATCCATGGCAAACAGTTTGGTGGTTTCTTATCAAATTAAACATACACTCACCATATGACCTGGCATTTGCATTTCTGGGTACTGCCCCCAGCAGAATGAGAACACATGTCCACACAAAGAGGCGTATCCAAGGTGTTCACAGCAGTTTTATTCATGATAGTCAGAAACTAGAAGGAGCCCAAGGTCCATCAGTAGGTGAAGAGATAAACTGCACCATATTCACACAAGATGATATTACTCATCAATAGCAGTGAACACAAAAACATGGAGACACCTCAGAAGCTTTATGTTGCGCAAAAGTAGCTTACCACAGGGGCGCCTGGGTGGCTCAGTCGGTTAAGTGTCCCACCTCAGCTCAGGGCACGATCTTGCGGTCCTTGAGTTTGAGCCCTGCATCTGGCTCTGTGCTGACAGCTCAGAGCCTGGAGCCTGCTTCCGATTCTGTGTCTCCCTCTCTCTCTGCCCCTCCCCCACTCGCACTCTGTCTCTCCTGTCTCTCAAAAATAAACGTTAAAAAAAAAGTAGCTTACCACAAAAGAGTGCAGACTATGAGTTTCCATTAATTTGAAGTTTTGGAACAGCCAAAACTACTCCATAGTGACAGAGCACATTAGTGGATACCTCTGGCATGGTGAGGGCAAGGAGGCAACAGACTATAGAAGGACATAAGGGAACGTGCTGGGATGATGGAAATGTTCTTTCTCTTGAGTGGGATGATAGTCCACAGGTGTAGACGTGTCAAAATTCACCAAACCATACATTTAAAATGTGTGCCTTTTACTGCCTGTGAAGTATACCACAATAAGGTTGATTCCTTTTAAAGATCATGTAGAGCAAAAATGTAAAAAAAAAAAAAGCAAGGCAAGACTGAGAAGAGAGGCGGGCCTTCTCAGCAGGCAGAAGGGAGGAAAAACACCAATGGAATGGCGGGAGGCCGCCATGTTACCGACTTTTGCAATGTTTGGGGGTTGTGTGATAAGCATGCATGATGTGGATAAAGTTAAGATAAGGATAAAGAAAAAAGTTGAGCTCTAAAAACGATCTTATAGCACCCCCATGCCTAGCCCTCTATGAGGGAAGCAGGGATGCCTGCTGTCCCCCGAGAAAATCACCTCCTTCCTCCTCCTCTTGCCCCCAGACGCTGTTGGCATTGCTGATCTTGGTCCTGTACGTGGGCACAGGAATATCAGGTGAGCATTCCGAAATCTCAGAAAGGAGGAGCCGAGTCCACACGGGGTCGGGAGGGGTGTTGTGGAGATGGCTGCGTGCCAACGAGGCCTCCACAGCCTGCCTTCTCCTACCTCGTTCACCCACTGGGAGGACCGAACATGTTCATTTCAACTACTGCTCACTTGCCCTTGTTAAGGGGCGATGTTCATGCCTGTTTCAGGAAGAAGTTGGGAGGTGTCAGAAAGGATCAGAGAATGTAACTATCCCCAGAATCCTGTGGCTTTCCAGGTAACATATTCAGGAAGGGTACGGAGGGGATGTCAAGCTTGGCTGAGGAAATCCGGGAAGGCTTCCCAGACGTGTCACTGGCGAGCTGGATCTTGAAGGATCGATAATTAGGAACTGGCCAGGTGGCGAAGGTGGGGATGGACACTCCAGACAGAAACCCTGCAAAGGCTCAGAAAGCTTTTTGAAACCAGTGGCAAGAGGCGGGGGGCGGCCCCCGCCCCCCCGTCCTACATGAAAAAGTTCAAGGTGCAATTTTGATATCTGCCTTTCAGGGATTTGAATACCAAACCGATGAACCCGCAGAAGAGCCAATAAAGGTCATCAGGACCTGGTTGAAGGAACACTTGCACGTTTTCTTGGAGAAGCTAGAAAAAGAGGTGCAGGAGTTGGAGCAGCTGGTACAGGACCTGGAGGGGTGGTTAGATGCCCTTCTGGGAGAGGGGCCCCCAGAGGATCCCTGCTCCAGCTTCAAGAACGGTTTGTGAGGGCCCGGGGCTGGACCCTGGGGAGGACGCCAAGTGAAAGGCGGGGGAAGGCTTGCCAGCTGACAAGAGCTGAGCTGTGACACTTGAATTTCAAAGCAGGCAAGACAATAAAATACCTGAGACCCTGAGAACTTTGCTGGCACCACAGCTGGTTCACGAACGAATGCCATCAGAAGGACACCAGGGCCCTGCTGAGATAGCCTCCAGGGCACCAGGACTCCGGGGTACCAGAACCAAGCCAGCCTCCGGGGCAGAACCCTTGCCCACTTCCCCGAGATCCGGCACAAATTCCCTAACCTCTCTGAGACGCAAGTGCCTCATGAGGAAAAATCAGGGTCACAAATTTGCCTCACAGCATTATGAGGGTGTATACGTAGAGTGCCTGATAGATAGGTCTTCCTTTCCTTCACTCCTTTTCCTTCCTCCCCGGAACTTAGTGAGATGAGTCTGGTTCTGGAGTATATAGATGTTAATGTGGCAGCTCAACCCTCTGGCCCCGCTTCTAGCAGCATCAATTGCCAAAACCCCTGTGCAGGGCAATGTGGTGACAGCTATGAAATTCACAAATGCATTTACCATTTGACCCAGTAATCTGCCTCAGGGATTTATCTCCTATAAATGTGTGAAATATATATTTATCATATATATTCTTTATATATACTTGTCATAGTTATAGCATTATATAATTATATATAACATATATATTATATTGAAATATATACTTACAACACATATACATACATGTGTGAAATTACATGTACGTAGTGTTACTCTCCCAGCTTCGTTTATAATAGCAAAACAAAGGAAACAACCTAAATGATTATCCATAGGTCCCAGGTTAAATTAAGTAAATTTAAGTAAATTAGGCCCCTGTAGGTATGAAAGAGAATGAGGGAGCTTTTCTACTGATATGGAAAAGTCTACAAGAAAGGTTGTTAAATGAAAGAAATCAAGGTATAAGAAGAGCCTGGGAATAAGAATCTGTATTTTGTTGATGATGATGATGATGACGATGTTACTGAATGTGCATAAAAATAAGTAGGATACAAAACGGGGCGGGGGTGGTTGGGGGAATTGAAATGGGCAAATGTACGACCAGGATGAGAGCGAAACTTTTCACACTTTGTTATTTTCAGACTATGTGAATGTTTTGCCTATTCGAATATTTTTAAAATAAAATTACCTATTATTTTGCTTACAGAGACACTGGAATACGGTGTCTACAAGTAAAATAAGAATATCACTGTGATGAAATTACGAGTGCCTTTTAATTTTGATGACTTTGATTAAACAATGATAATTCTTATCTAGGATTTTCCCTTTTTTTTTTTTTTAACGTTTATTTATTTTTGAGAGATAGAGACAGAGCGTGAGCAGGGGAGGGGCAGAGAGAGAGGGAGACACAGAATCTCAAACAGGCTCCAGGCTCTGAGCTGTCAGCACAGAGCCCGACATAGAGCTCAAACCCACGAACTGTGAGATCATGATCTGAGCCGAAGTTGGACGCTTAACCAAATGAGCCACCCAGGCGCCCCTAGGATTTTCCCTTTTTCCCTTGACTTCAGGAAGTTCAGAGTTCAGTTGTCCATTGTGGGAATGATATCAGTCTCATTTTTTTTTTTCATTATTTGACCCTTTCTATGATTTTTTGGGTTTGTTTTCTAGTTTACTGGAGCTATTATCGGTGTGCCAATTATCAGAACAACCTCAAATCTTTGGAAAGTCATGAGGGTTGCAATAAAAATATCTCCTAGAATATCTGACTTACAGGAAGTGTCACGGCGATTCGTTTGCCGGGAGAAATTACTCGGTTGCCGCTTGGGAAGGAAAATGTCTTTACAAGTTATGGTCACAGTTTTGCCACTTTGAACATTCAGCAGGGACTGGGAAACCTGAATCTGTTTTCCTTGTTTGCAATTACTTCGGCAAGCACTCTGCAGGAAGGTCTCATATCGGCATTTCTCTGCACTTATCTTTACTATTACTATAAAGCTGTAGTTCCAGAACCCCAAATCATGTACATGTGCTCTACAGGTGTTGAGAGGGTTCTCAGGCATGATTCTGACTGTATACAGCCTTGGCTTAACACACACCGCAGACTCTAACCCCCATCGAAGTTGCAACTGTACTGTACCTGTAACATATGGGTGTGTGTTTATATTCACATATTATATATATTTATAGTTTATATATGATACGGTTATGAATGTTTTTATAAAACATACATGTACATAAAATTGGGGGATACGTGAAAAAAAGAAAACAGAGCTAGATCCTTGAGGAATGCAACCACCCCTGTGGATATTAGCAGAGCATTTGAAGAGAGGCATCACACCCTGAAAGCTCTTATGCATCACCCCCACGCACCCACACACAGAGCCTAACAGAAACGGCCCATGCTGGTGTGGGGCTGCAGCCCACTGGTGGTAGTTACTTTTGGTATGTCGACTTGTGAGCCCATAAGGGCAGCAAGCCATTCGGGGTGGCTCAGGCAATGAGGGTTTGTTGTGGCACAACAACACAGGAGCCAGAAATCTCATGGAAATCAGGGGTGTACCATAACCTGGGATCCTGGAATCTGGACCAGGAAGGGCTTCGAGAACCCAAAGCATCCACCAAGGTGCTCCAGGAGCCCCTGCTGCAAGACTCTGGGAGCTTCCCTCTAGCATTCCACCTTTACCTTGACCTGGCCACTCTCTGGGTCTCTGCTTTTCTTTGTGTGTCTGCCCCATCTCTTCCTGCTTCCAGTGGCTTCCTTGAGCACCACTCTAACCATCCCCTCTTCAGCTCAGCACTTCTGCCTCTGAGTCCTCCTAACTCTGATTTGCTCCTGGGCCCACAAGGCCTCTCCCTTTTTCATGACCTTCCAAACTTCCAGTGACCATATAATTCTGTCTGCATTTCCCAGATCAAGCTCCAAAGGGGGTGGATGGGATGTGACTGACTCATTTCATTGGCTGGAGTTTCCTGTCTTGAGTCAGGATCTGTGTCTACCAGCCTTTGGGTTGGATGGCCTTGGGGTGACCACTCCCGCTCCAATCAGCTGTGGCAGAAGGGGGAAGGGAGAATCAAATACGCCAGGATGGAGCTTCCTCATACGAGAAACAGCCTGGGATCCTTCCTGATGAGTGACTCTGGACCATGTGGAATGACCTCCTATTTCCCAAGGTGGTCACAAGTGTGGCAGAGAGAGAGTGATGGCAACCCTTGTACCTCAGAGCCCCCAGAGCCAATATCAGGGAAGCAGAATTGTGTGAGGCAAACATTCAAAAGCTGAATATAATTGCTAAGAATGAGGTGGAAGAGGCTTGACTACCAGAGTCACCATAGGCAAGTAGGTCATCTTAATTTGGCAATATTTCATTCATTCTCCAGCTCCTGAGTGTGAAAAATACAAATGACACACTTAAAAGGGAGAGCATGACTACCTTTCATGACTTTGAAGTCTTATAATTTGAATGACTTTGGCAAAATGTTGCCCAGAAGGTCTATCAGGGGCCCACTTTCATTATCTATAGAGTGGACTTCCCTTTGGGAAAGAAAATGTCTTTTACTTGAGAAGGCAACTATTTCCAGCTCTTTCCATTCAATCAAGAAACAATGCTGCCAGCAGAGCAGGGTCTCCCTGCCCCCACCCCAGCCCCCAACCCAACTCCCTTACAACAACCGGCTCCCAGTGATTCTGCAAGGCCAGGCTTCCCAGCGACCGAAGACTAAATAGAAAAGAGAAATTGAATAACAAAATCAGGAGTCAAAACTGAAGGGGCACCTGGGTAACTTAGTTGGTTAAGCATTTGACTTCGACTCAGGTCATGATCTCACCGCTCATGAGTTCGAGCCCCGCATCGGGCTCTGTGCCGACAGCTCAGAGCCTGGAGCCTGTTTCAGATTCTGTGTCTCCATCTTTCTCTGCCCCTCCCCAACTTGTGCTCTGTCTCTGTCTCTCTCTCTCTCAAAAATACATAAACATTAAATAAAAATTGAAAAAAAAGAAAAAGAAATGATGGGGCCATGGGTGTACCAGCCACTGGCAAACGCAAAGTTTACAGGCTAATGGGAAAAACAAGCAGAAAAATCAAGACAAGGCAATTTCAGAGAATGATAAATGTAACGGTAGAAACAAGAAAACCACTTAGCAAGGCACTGTGGTTTTCCAGCTGGAAACGGAGGCTTGGAGTAGGGGGAGAGGTACAGAGAAGCAGAATTCAGTTTGAAAGTGTAATCAGCAGGACGTGCTGCTGGATAAGAATGAGGAAGAAAGGTCTAGATAGCTGCCTGCCAGGCCTCAGGACTTCCTCTCCAGCGGAGTGCAACCTGAGCCATGATTCAGGTCCTGACCCAAGGAGCTCATGAGGAAGAGACAGGTGTGGTCTTGTGAAGAGAAAAGTGGCCAGTTGGAAAAATGTCATGGCCACTCAATTATCCACATTTCTTCTTTTGTTTCAGGCACCTGGAGCATGAGGTCAGCATCACAAACAATTAAAATTTTCAATTAATTTTAATTGATGGTTTTCTCCCCATCTCTCTTTTACTTAATAGATCTATTTGGCAGCCTTCTTAATGCTCCCTCGGGCTCTTCTCTTTTGCTAACACTGATTCATTCTACGTTTTTCTTTGTTTTATTGTTTTTGGTCAGCTTCTATTCTGTTCCTCCAACTTATATAATGGTGAAAAAACCCACAATCATCAGATAATTCATGTTTTAAAGATAAGAATCTGATAATCGAGACAAAAATTGGGTAAGATAAAGTCCGCCTACCTATTAGCGATATGTATTTTCTAAGACTATAAGGACTATTGGAAAGACATAATGAAATTGTGGCAACAGACACTTAGAGAATGTGGTCCTGTTTTAGGCGCTTTGTCGAGTGTTATTGTTACTTCCAGTTTATGGACAGGGAAACTGAGGCATAGAGAGATTATATCATTGTTAAAATCATATAATCAATGAATGGGGAGCCAGGATTCAAACCCAGGCTCTCTAGCATCAGAGCCCTCACATTAACCCAATGTATTTTACAGCCTCGCCTCCACTAAGCCTAGCCAAGATCATGTATATTGTTAAGTAATCACATGCCAATTAAATTTATAAGGTAATAAGTTCTCATTTCATGCTACTACATGTTGG